AAAAAAAGCTTATCTCATTCGAACATTATAACATATATTAACTAAAGTTAACTGTAGTCTTACAGTAGGCTAATATTTGGCATTTATTATAAGGTCCCACACTGACTGTCACTCCTTTTTTTCTTTCTTGCAGATACTGTTGAGATGATTAAACACATCCTTATACTCCTGCTCTGTCTTGTGTGTCCGTGTTCACCCCGTCCTCAGCCAGGTAAGTTGAGTCTAGCAGGATGTGATGATTTTGTAGCTGAATCCAAACTTTGTAACCCGCCCTGGTGCTTTCTCTCTGACGTAGCTGTAATTATGTGCCAGATTTTCAGATCCAAGGCTGACAAAGTGGAAAATGATTATACTCTCAACATAACACAAATTCACTCTGCATACACACTTAACCAGCATTCCCTGGTTAAGTGTGTATGCAGTCACACACACACACACACACACACACACACTCTTTCACTTGTTTTTTTTTTTTTTCATTTTCTTCTTGCAGCTGAACGCTCCCACGCTTTCTCAGAGCAGGTATTAGTGCAATACTTCTGCAGATTCCACAGTTGTTTATGCAGGTTAAACATATATTTTTATATAGAATTGCAATTCTCCAAATGGATTTATAGTTGAACTCCACAGAAACTGCTTTCCTGCTTTAAACCAAACCCTGCTCAGGTGTAGCTGGTCACTACTCTTGCTTTCAGATTGATCTGCAGCTATGTGTATATTGAGATCAATACAGCCATTAGGCCATGGGCATAGACTTCTGGGTATGACACATGGGCCTGAGGGGTCTGGTACTTAGCTATTGGCAGCAGATCCTACTTTTCCTAATTCTATTTTGTGTCCTGAGAGCTAAGGAGTGGGTTGCTGTGGATCAGTGTTTCAGTGGATGGGAAGTGACGTTGATTCACTGCATTGGGCCTCTGCCTTGTATTTTTGGAGCCAGACATGATCATATTTAGACAGGGTGGAGTACTAAGTTATCAGCTAATGTCAGCAAGCTGAGTTAGCTAGCCTCACACAAAGACTCGGTGTAACACACAGACAGAAATAGCAAAACTAGTAAAATACTGGAATTGCACTCATGAAAAGTGGAGTCTAGACTTCTTAGTTAGGTTGTACGTCCATTAAAATGTTGCAAAAAGCATTGCTTTTATTCATTTTAGACTCAAACTGGTTCCTGTTTTCCTTCCAGCACCTCCAGAGATGGCAGTGAAGATGGAGGAGAAATTGGCTGTAGCTGGCTCTCTAGCAGACACAGTGGTGCTACCGTGTTACTTCTCCATAACGCAAGCTTATCCCAGCAGCTCCGCACAAGCTCTGACGCACACCCCTACACCTGCGCAAACTCACAGCCAGAGCTCTGATGACTACGGCAGGATCAAGTGGACGAAGCTAGACGGGCAGGAGGAGAAAGTGGTGCTGGTGGCCCAGGGACTGGGAGTAAAGTTGGGGCATAGCTTTGAGAGCAGGGTGTCAGTGCTCAGCTACCCGCAGTGGCTTGGAGATGCTTCTCTGGTGATAGGGAAGCTCAGGGCCAGCGATGCTGGGTTATACCGCTGCGAGGTGATGCATGGGCTAGAGTCCACTCAGGTCACAGTCATCCTCACTGTCAGAGGTGAGTAAAACATACAGGAACACTAGCAACTCACCATTTTATAGTCAGGTTAGGAGTCTGTATGCAAATCTACAAACTTGATTGTCTGTATCCAGATGTGCCCAGCTGGCAGAGACTTCAAAGTTGAAGGTGTCGCCAAAAGTATTAACTGAAATGTGTGCACGTGCCATTTTCTTTAAAGTGCCCTTCCTCTCCGGTCATTGTAATGGTCTGTTTTCTAATCCATCTGCTGAAAGAGGAAAGATTCTCTGAGATGACCTAAAAACTTTTAGCCAACTAGTCCAAAGCTAACTGTGTCCAGCAAACACTTTACTCCAGTGTGATGTGGAAACCTAAAGTCTGCTTTACACAAACACTCGCACCAGTCCCAAAAAGCTGGTTCTGTTCATCGTAGCGTTTTCAGTGGGAGAAATGTTTCGGTATCGTCCAAGTGACTTCTTCAGTCTCAGCTGACTGCAAGTTTCACAACCTCATAAACAATACATTGTGCACAATGACTGAAACTAGCACCACTGGCAAACAATGGGCTGGGAGGTCTCACATCAGTCTTTCACTCATTCAACTTGTGTCTTGTTGTGTGTGCTACAAAGATATTACCACTATTTTAAGCAGTGTACTGTATTGTGAGGAGAGAATGTTTTTTTTATAAAAAAAAAAAAAAAACATATGCTGGAGATCCAGATCTGCATTATTTGCAGCCTAGGAGAGTGGCTAGCATTCATTTTAAAAAAAGTTTAATTCTGATTTTTTTAAATTCTCAAAACACAACCTTTCAATTTTAGACAAAACTTTATTTAACACAGGCATCACTAAAGTCAAAGCATGGTGGACAAAGAAATTTACAGGACTGGGAGCCACTGCGATAGAGGGAGAGGTGTGTTATTTCACAAGCTCAGGTAGAAGGTGTGTATGATTGCAATGGTGAGTGAAAGGAGAAGGGTAAGAGGGCGAAGCAAGGCTACAGAGAGGGGTGGTTCACCGGGTGAGTGGGTGAGTGATGAACGAGCAGATGTCCGACGTCCTCTTTTCCACAGTGGGGGTATCTTGCAGCAAGCAGGAGGGCAGGCAAGTGAGATTTCAGGCTTACTCCAGGAAACCTAGAGGTAAGACCAGTGGCAGCTGGCAGGTAGCAAGTGGGCGAGGAAGACCAGCATCAGAGGGAATTCGATTCTTAGTGGAGATGAGTGAATGCTGATCCAAGGATGCAAAACTGGAAACACAGAGCAATGTTACACAGGGAAATGAGTATGCTAACGGAACATGGAGACATAAGGAAAGGTGGACCTGGGAACTAGAAACAAAGCCTCAGGAGCAGAATGGAAAATATGCCAGAATACCAAAACACACCAGATCTTGACAGTACCCCAAGAGTTACCTCCAGGCACTGATCGGACACAGACCTGCAAAGACACTCGTCGAAGTAAGAGATTAAAGAATGGTCAAGGATGAATGCCCGCAGGACCCAGGAATGCTCCTACGGGCAGTACCCCTCCCAGTCCAACATGAACTGATTGCGCTGGCCTTGCTGACAAACGTTGACGAGCCAGCAAAAATCATAGGCCAGGTGGCTGTCGATGAGCCCGGTGGCTGTCGATGAGCCCGGTGGGTGGTGGGGGAGGATCGCATAGAGGGCACAGTTGACTGGAATACACCGGTTTGAGTTGAGACACATGAAAGGTGGGATGACTGCGCAGTGATGGGGGCAACTTGAGTTTGAAAGTGATGGGACTAATTACAGTCTATTTCATATGGACCAATAAAACGAGGAGCTAGTTTTTGGGTTAATGATTTTAATGGTAAATCTTTAGTTGGAAGCCATACTGTCTGACTGGGTGGAAGGGAGCAATGACAATCAGTGTACTTTTTGTTGTGGTTTTAAGCAGATTTGAGTCCAGACCTTCTGACTCAGTTGGAGGTGATGTAAAAGTAACGCTGCTCATCACCCTGAACACACCATCCCCACTGTGAAACATGGTGATGGCAGTATCATGCTGTGGGGATGCTTTTGTTCATCAGGGACAGAGAAGCTGGTCAGAGTTAATGGGAAAATGGAAGGAGCTACATACAGGACAATCCTGATAGAAAACCTGTTGGAGGCTGCAAAGGACTTGAGACTGGGAAGGAGATTAACCTTCCAGCAAGACAATTATCCTAAACATACAGCAATAGCTACAATGGAATTGATTAGATCAAAGAATATTCATGTGTCAGAACGGCCCGGTCAAAGTCCAGACCTAAATCCCATTGAGCATCTATGGCAAGACTTGAAAATTGCTGTTCACAGATACTCTCCATCCAATCTGGCTGATTGGCTATTGATTTTGTTTTGATTTTAAGTTTGATTTCCTGATATGTAGATTTGTTTTTCAAGCATGAACTGAAACCTTGACTTTTGGATATTCGTAATTTTGGTCGTATATGTTGATATTTTGTCTCGAGGACCTTCAATAATGGATCTAAAATTATGTTGATTTAATAAAACACTATTGAAGGCATCCGTATATTCCTGATTGTTGATAACCCTCCTGCAGGTGTGGTGTTCCACTACAGAGCTAGCAGCAGCCGCTACAGTCTGAACTATTCTGAGGCCGTGGAAGCGTGCCACTCTGTAGACGCGTCCATCGCTACACCTGAGCAGCTGACAGCTGCTTATGAAGATGGCCTCGACCAGTGTGATGCGGGCTGGCTTGCAGACCAGTCAGTTAGGTATGTTCCTCCATTTCTTTAAACAAATAATCTCAAGTTTAATGTCCCTCGTAATTTCATGATAAATTAGCAGATAAAATAACCGAAATTCAAAAGTTGACGTGCCATTTTGAATCTCAGCGAGCCCAAATGTGATGGTAAATCAAGTGCGGTAGGCCAACTCTGCCACACCAACCCTCTGTATTTCCTCCTTCATTACATCCATGGATCTTCTCTGAGATCTTTCTCTTTTCCTCCTTGCAGCATCATCTTCATCATCCTGTCCTCTCTCTCGTCTGCTGTATTCAGACCACCTCAGCCTCACCTTTCTAATTTTGCCTCCAATGTGCTAAACCTGAGATGTGTTCTACTCGTTGCATGTTCACCTTTCCACCTGTCTCGCTCTTTTATTTACACACAGAATTTCATTCCTCTTCTCTCCAGAGAATACTTCCCCCTCTCGAGGCTCTCCTACACATGCTCCCTACTTTCACTAAAATATGTATAAAAATATCTGTAATAAATGGTCCTAAATGGTCAAAGCAATAATTCAACTTGAATTAAGTTTGTTTTTGATTTAAAGCTGAAACTCTGCACTTAAGTCACATTTTCATCGTGTGCAGTTCACTGTGTTTGTGCACAGAGGCAAAACTACAAAAACTGTTATTGTACACGTACTTAGGGACCCAACTATAGAACATGAAAACCGAATAAACAAATAAATACGACCTCTTTAAATATCAGATCATGTCTTGCTCTGCTTTTAAAAATATTGTCATTATTATTGTTAATTTTTCAGATATCCACTCACAGTGACCCGTCCAGGCTGCGAAGGTAATCTAAAGAATCGGCCAGGTGTGAGAACCTACGGCATCCGTGACCCCATGGAGAAATACGATGTGTACTGTTACGTAGACAAACTACACGGTAAATACACATGCAAGACAAATACATACTGAAATACAGAATTATAGAGGCAGTGGTTAGCTTAGCTTAGCATTAAGTTTTTAGCAGAACACTTTTCTGAAGTTAAAATTTCAACCTTATAGCTCCTCCACTAGTTTCTGCTAGTCTGCTGCGGCTCTGTACCAGGGGTGGGGAACTCCAGGCCTCAGGGGCCGGTGTCCTGCAGGTTTTAGATGTGTTCTTGAAACAACAAAGCTGATTTAAATGGCTAAATTACCTCCTCAACATGTCTTGAGGTTCTCCAGAGGCCTGGTAATGATAATAATCATTGATTCAGGTGTGTTGATCCAGGGTGATATCTAAAACCTGTAGGACATCAGCCCGTGAGGCCTGGAGTTCCCCACCCCTGCCCTTTACCCGGCTGATTTTGTCGAATTTGGTTGAAGTCAGCTTATTGTTACAAATGTAATTCATTTAAAATATCAAGTAAAAAGACTGTGGTTAGCTGTAAACTGACTTTGTGTATCTGCTCTGTCTGTAGGCGAGGTATTCTATCCTACTTCCATCAGCAGTAAGCTCACCTGGCAGCAAGCAAGGGAAGAGTGCGAGAAGCATGATGCCGTGCTGGCATCGCCCGGTCATCTGTTTGCAGCCTGGAGGGCGGGGCTAAACCGCTGCGACTTTGGCTGGCTATCTGACGGCAGTGTCCGTTACCCCATCACCATCCCCAGGCCTCAGTGTGGAGGAGGCCAGTTGGGGGTCCGCACACTTTACAAGTATGAAAACCAGACTGGTTACCCAGACCCCACTGACAGGCACGGGGCTTTCTGCTTCAAGGGTAAGACAGAAACATACATTGATCCAAACTGGACAGTAATTTACTCTGCTTATTTTCTTATTTGCATGAACTTAGTCTTGCAACAGAGTGGTCTCATATCTATTAAGTGTTTATCCCATTATCTAGTTTCAAAGGGTGAAAAAGGCTGCGAAATAAACAGTTTTAAAAAGCATGTCAGTTTTGGCAGCTTCTTTCGTTTAAGCCACATCCATCGAGCTGGTTTCACAGGACAGGAGTCTGTCACTGTTATTTTAGGGTTATTTTACCTTACATAAATATTAAGCACGTTGACATGTCTGTGCTTGTGATTTGGCGCTAAATAAAATCAAATTGAATTGAATCGAATAGTTGAAGTCTCTGCATCCTAGTTGACTTTTGAAACTCTAAAAACCACAAGCTTTAATTACAGATACAGTCCCGCTCAGGACCTTTGCAGGTCACAGAGCAGTGTGTCACAAGACATCGAGTCTCAAAGGTAATAATAATTTGGAGATCTATAAGCATGTATGTGCAAATTGTTTGGTCATATTTTTATGAGGAATTCTGCTTAGAGCAGCTTTGTCTTTAGATGCATTGTGTAACCTGGTTAAGAAAATTAGTAATATTACAGATAAAAAATTAAGACAAATTACAAAGTGTATGGAATCTAGGTCCATGCCGCACTGTTGAGCTTGCAATACTTGCCCTCCTCCAAACATCCACAACACTTTGTGGATGTTTGGTCAATGAACACTGAGGTGTCACAATCTGCAACCACTTAAAAGCCGAGTAAAAAGAAGTTACAAAGAACAAACCCAACCAAGAGAAGAATGATCTCTCAGTAGCCATGTTAATGGTGGGCCATATTTTTTACGAGGGGAAAAACCCAGCACGTGCACTCTAACACAGATAGAACAGAAACAGGACAGGTCCCTAATGTTTCACAGCTGGGACCCTGCCCAAACTCAGACAGACAGACGAAGGAGGAGATGTAAAAGAGGGGGATTTCTCCCATAAGTGACATCATTGTATAAAAAGCACAAAACTTTAACAGTGAGCCCAGCTCAGTCTGCAGTGTGAAGTTGCAGCATCAAGTATGAGGCACTAAACATATCATTTCACTCACTTGCCTTTCTGAACATGAAACCTGTGTAATGTGCTTTACCGAGACTTAAGTATAGTGGCAGGACTGCAAGAGAAAGTAAATGTACAGTGACGGTGTACGGACAGACCCCAGCCAGATGGTTGAAGCTCGCCAAATACATGACATCATATCTGGGCAGGACTTAACATGCAGCCAGGGTCTCCTTCACAGTGCAAAACGACAGACTCAACCACAGTTAAAGCACAAGTCTGCAGGCAATCCACACCTTTAGCAAGCTCTTTGATAGAAGCAGTAATCAAAAAATGCAGTTTAACAAGTATTCCTTCAATAAAAGTCACAATAAAAGTACAGACGTATAACAACTTTTACTTAGTAAAAGTAGTGCAGAAACATTTGATTCAATTCAGTTCAATTTTATTTATATAGTGCCAAATCACAGCATTGGTTGCATCAGCATCTTCACCTGTTCTGTTACAGACTTTTTGAGGACTTGTGTAACCCAGTGGAGTCTAACTGAATGGAGCATGACCGTAACATCATTTTCAGTTTTGTTTTAGGTTGTCAGAAAGGTATTTTCTCTAGATTATAGAGGATAATAGTGGTGTTGTACCTGCAGTATAAAGCATCATATAAGAATCAGTCCATTTACCATTATGTTGAAAAGTCTTCCTTATATGTCTCTCTAGATCTAAAATTATGGCTATAGTGCTAAAGAGAAACAGGAAAACAGCACACTCACAAAACCCACCCAACCAAACACCCTCCTGCACATTCACACATGGAGGGGACTATGTTACTTCCAGTTTATTAAAGCATTATGTATGTGACGCTCAAACCCCCCACTCATTCCCAGGACACTAACCATTTGAACTCAGCACTTAGACACACACAAAGGAATGCATTGTATGTTCAGGAGCCCTAATTGTTAGTTTTTCATGTGGTATATGCTCCATTATAACAAGGCATTAATCTTCCCTATAATCAGAGGTTACTTGGAGAAGGGCCTTACAACAAAACTCTTATGCACTGTCTAAAATTCTTTTAAAAGCCTGATTAATGTGAGACAGTTACAGGCTTAAAGAAAGTACATCTTTTTCAGCTGAAAGTTGTTGGTTTTTCACAAATCACGACATAAAAATTATCTGGTTCTCACCAAGTCTGAGATAAACAACAGCACATGTTGTGATACAGCGTGTCAATAACGAGAGTATCATTTAATAAAAATGGCAAAAGCATTGTGGGAAAAGCTAAGCACACTTCATGACTGAGCAGCTTCTAGAGACACCTGTAGCAGCAATAATTTGGACTAATTATCTTCTGTCTGACTTTATCAGTCTCTCACATTGTTGTGGAGAAATTTCAGCCGATTCTTCTTCACAGCATTTCTTCAGTTCATAAACTTTGTGAGGATTTATTCATGCACAGCTCTCTGAAGGTCCACCACATCATTTCTATCAGGTTGAGGTCTGGAGCACTGATTCTTTGCTTTTTCAGTTATTCTGTTGTAGATAAGCTGCTGTGTTTGGGATTATTGTCCTGTTGATGACCTAGTTTCACCCAGGCTTTAGCTGTCAGACAGATGGCTTAACATTTGACTCTAGAACTGTCTTGGTCCTGGGTTGGTGACCCAGTGTTTTGGTTTTTGTCTGATTATTGATCTTTGTTTCTATCTGGAGTTTGACTGCTAGTTTGATGGTTTCTGTTTTGTATTTCTAGTTCTTAGGTTTTGGTCCCCTGTGTAGTTTCAAGTCCTTGCCCTTGAGCCAGTTGTATTTTCTGTTTTACTTTGAAGGTCCATGTCTCAGGTCATGTATTCTGTTTTGCTTCCCCGTTGTCTTGTCTAATTAGGTTCAGCTGTGTCTCACTCCTGTGTGCCATCTCCTTGTTACGTTGTGTGAATATTTAGTGGCATTTTAGGTCAGGGATAGCTCAGTAGGTAGAGTGATGGCCCCATGATCGGAAGGTCGGGGTTTGATTCCACTGAACGGTGACCCTGAGCAAGGTACCGTCCCTACACACCGCTGCCCACTGCTTCACAGAGTGAATGGGTTAAATACAGAGAGGAATTTCCCCTTGGGGATCAATAAAGTATACATTATTATTAGTGTGTGGTTACCTCTTTTTTTTGTTGGAGCATCTGTGTATCATTCTGTGTATTATGCCTGTTGGTCATCTTGTTCTTCTTCTCCAGTGTCTCTCCAGCTAAGTTTCCATCTTTCAGTTTGTTTAGTTTTATGTTTCTAGCTTCATGTTTAGCTGTCCCCAGTTTAGGTTTTTATTAGTGGTTTTGAGGTAATTCTTACAGCCGCAATAAAGGCTCATTCTCAGTTTGAAACACTCTCCTTCATCATTGTCTGCACCTGGGTCCACGCCTCTTATCTCCACACTGTTTGTGAGGCAAACCGTGACAAGAAAGCAGTCTTCTCTGCTAAGATGACTGGCAAAAGTCTTCTGTGTTTTCCACTTATGAATAATCGTTCAAACTGTACAATGATGGACTTGGAAAGGTTTGGATATAGCCTTACATTATAATCCTTCCTAGACTGATTGATTACTGATGTACAATTGATAATGTGATAATGTGTTCACACTTACTGATGATCAGATAATCAAGTGAATTTGGTTTGCAGCTTAAGTCCCGTGGAAACACAGAATTTTATGTAGTTTTTCACACACTTTCTGTATTTTGTCTCAGTTGATACGGTGTAATATGTCATGTTTTTGTTCTTTATCTGAGGTTGTATTTAACCAATTTTAAGATAATTTTTATTATGTCTTGAGGGTGTGCTATTTTTTCTGGGGACTGAAACAGCTTCATTCTTGACAGGTGACTTAATGTTTCCAAAATCAGCAATCAATCTGCTGCATTTCCTTTTATAGCTTGCTGTGTGCTAGCTGCTGTCTGACAGCTTCCCAGACTCCTGTTTCTTTATTTAATGACTCATTGGTTTTGCTGATTTCATTCTGTGAACATTTTTCACTCAGTATAAATGTTGCTTGCTTGCCTAAATGGTTTTTAACACACTCATAGTTTTCCACATTTTCCCACTGCCAGTGCTGTGTCTTATTTTCCAAAGCAGACGGGTTTATTTTCTACCTAATCATTCTTTACATTATATGCCAGCTTTACAATATGATTTTCGCAAATACTCATTTGTAACTCACTGCTATGTTGATCACTAACACTTCTTCCTTCCTAGCATTTTTTCTGAATGACTGACAATAACATGGACAAACTGAAAAGAAAGAAAGGAGGAAATGAGAATGATTTACTTTAGTATTAAAGGGATGTTTTAATGTGAATTCCTACTTCTGAGGTTTTCCTGTAATTATTTCCTAAATGCTTCTTTAATCACAAGTGCATGATTTGTATTTGATTTTGACATTTTGTGACCAATAAAGGTGAAAAGTGTAATCTTCCATATTGACCTTTTGGCCTTCGTTGTTCTTGCACTCATGTAGCTTTATGAATGATGCACCCATTTGACATACAGCCCTGGTGTTGTTAGGCCCTTGCAGTGATTCAAACCAGTAGGGAGCGCTTCTTGCTGCCACCACATTTGATATAAAGAAAGACTTGTGAATATGGCTAGTTTTAGTGAAAATGTTGCTTCCTTACATTAGTATTATGTGTTTTGCAATTATTTTTTTTGTAGTGACTAAGAAAAAATGATGCCTTTTTCATCAACAGAGTTGCAGTTGGCAGCACTTCTTAACTGCCGAGCTCTTTGTAGGACCCACTTCTAAATTCTTGTCTTGCTCTTGTGTTCCCCTCTTTTACAGTTAGACTGGAAGAGCCAACTACTACGAGTTCCCTGATGACTCCAATTGTGTACAAACCTGACATGGGGGCTATCCCTACATATAGCCCCCATGCTACAATAGCTTCACACGTTGAAAGAGCTGAAATCCAAGG